GGTTGAAATTAAAGTATCAAATGTTCTTAAAGTGAAACACAACACCAGTCTCTGAGAAAATGGCATCACAAATCAGTATCTCGTGTGTCCGCCATGTGCATTGATGACCGCCGTGCAACGTCCATACATGGAATGGATGAGGCGGTTGATGAAGGCCATAGGCACTTGAGCCCACACTCTGAGGAACGCCTGGCGCAGTTCAGATGCAGTTGTCGGCCTTGGTCGGACGTCATTCAGCCGTCTTTGAATCTCGTCCCACAGGTGCCCAATGCGATTTTAATCGGGACTGAGGACAGGCCACTGCATGGTTCTGATGCCATTCTGCTGGAAGAAATCTCTTGTTTCTCTTGCAGTGTGGGTACGGGCGTTATCTTGCTGAAACGCGTGGTTGCGGCGACGTGCCAAATGAGGTATGGCGTGTGGTGTCAAGACTTGATCAATGTACCGAGCTGCTGTGACACCATTGCCTCTCCCTGGACAGATGTTCTGGAAGACCACAGGGACGACCCTCTGTGCAAGACCAATTCTACCCCACACCATGATGCTCGGATCACCCCACGAGCCTCTCTCAACAACACAAGCATCCGAATAATGTTCCCCACGGCGTCGCCAGACTGCCATCTGCTGTTGAGATACAGTAACGGCTCTCGCCTAAGAAGAAGACTCATCTCCACTGCTGGTGCTGTGTTGCCCACTGAAGACGGTCCCGGCGATGACGTGGTGTCAGAATTGGTCCTCGATGTGGCCTGTGACAGTGGAGGTGTCTGCTCGTCAACCGTCGACGCACGGTGTCGCACAATCTGACGATCCTGACGTCTGGTGGTGACCCTTGGTCTTCCACTACTTGGTCGGTCATCTGTTGTGTTGGTGGTCTGGTATCGTTGCTGGAGCCTGTATATGGTCCTTACGTGGACTTGAATTGCATTGGCTACTTGCCGGGCGGTTTGTCCAGCTTGCAATCGTCCAAGGGCTTGGCATGCGGTAGCAATTCAATAACGAATGAATGTCATCTGATCTGGGTGGATTTTTATAGGGCAAGAAATGGGGGAACGCATGTGCATTTCAATTTGCACGGAACTCACGTGCAACGGGTTACCATGGCTGTTGCCGTGATGCGTTTGGGCGATCGGTTTTATTGTCATCTGCTTCGTTTTTTTATCATCAAATTTCATTTTTCTGGACAAGGTAATGATAAATTTTAGAAACTTTGACAAGAATTACCCAGATATTTAAATGACAACATTTTATGCAATGTCACTTGGGGTGACGTTTCTTTTGCGGTTCAGTATATGTATGTGTGTGTGTGTGTTTGCATTATAATCTTTAACCTGACGAATGTTATGAACACACAATGTCATTTAGAAAGTGGTCAAATGTAACAAATTCAAATTTGGGATAACACTTTCTTATTTAAGTACAATATTGTTAAATATTTGCCTATAATTCATATCGTAACAAAACTAATGATTACATTTGTTTCCATTTTATAATTATAAAGATAAATATTTTATTTATCATTGTCATCATAAGAAATTATCATACACTTTAATCCCATTTATTTATTTATGAATCATATATCTATTTCTTTAATGGTTACTTAGTTTGGAATATTCGTAAATGACACTTATTAAACCATATATACAACACATATATTATATTACATTGAGGCAATACCTATACGTGTACCTCCGTACTTCATTTCGTCACGACAGGTCACTGCACTTTCCCGCAGTCTAGAAACGTAGCTCATTACATATAAATATGCGGAGTGTTAAAATCAATAAGACGAAAGTTGTAATTATTGTGATGGTTTAGTTTTGGTATTGCCGACTTCGAACATCGACAATGGTACGTAAACCGAGGATCAACTGGAACGCGACCTCTCAGTAAATTGTATCATCAGTTTGATTTGTAATTGAAATTACGAAAGTTGGCGATATCATATCAAAATAATGAGTGAGTGAGTGAGTGTGGTTTTACGCCGCTTTCAGCAATATTCCAGCAATATCACGGCGGGGGACACGAGAAAGGGGCTTCGGCGTGATGAGCGAACGCTTTAACCACTAGGCTACCTGACACCCCCCCCCCCCCCCCCCCCCCCCCCTCCAAATAATGAACTGAAGCGGCGGTTAGTCAACACTGAAAGAATACTTCTACCTGGTTTTATTTAAAAAAATATAATTTGACTTAAGACTTATAATTTTGTTTCAAAATACATAATACACAACTGCTGATCGGAATCTTAGACATTTTATCTTTGAAAATCAATAAATTTGCTTTGGGTTGCAACTTAATTTCTTACTCCAGTCTTCATTGAACCAGTTAATTTGTACTTAAGGGTACCCATCCTCAGATTACTTTTTACAAACTGTTGCAGGAAAGAGTGATGTTTAGATGTAAATAATCAAATTTAACACCCGTTCTTTCAATTTTCAATGGCGTAAAACAAACTCCCAGTGAATCAATTCTTCTTTAAACTCTCTACATCAGTGTTCTACATGTACATTTGCACGACACCCATACACTTCTGGACATCGATGACAAACCAACTTAAGACTGTACAGGTTCATGCTACTACTACTACTACTACTACTACTACTACTACTACTACTACTACTACTACTACTACTACTACTACTACAACAACAACAACAATAACAATAATAATAATAATTTAAAAAATAATAAAAACATGTTGAGCAAATTTGAATGAGTGAATGGGTCTGGTTTTACGCCACTGTCAGCAACATTCCAAACTATCACAGCGGGTGACGCGAAAAAGGGATTCACACATTGTACCGTTTGGGAAGTCAAGCCCCAGGCCTTTTGGCGTGACGAGCTTTTTCTGCAACCCCCGAAACAACATCGTTCAGAAAACGCACGTCAAGATATTTCTGAATGTACGATTTAGCGAAAATAGATTAACCCATCAGTGACAATCATGATGTCCAATGGAAATCCCTTTTTTGACTCGTACCATTTGTTCCCGTACTTTTTTAAGGTGAACAATTGACTTGCCCTTGCGTGTGTTTCTGGCGAGTGCCACCGATGGAACAAGATACGCTCACCTTTCCGCGAACACCTGGTATCTTCACTATTAGTCCAGGCAATCTATGTCATTTTAGCACTCAACTTGGAACAAACTGCAACAGAATTTATTTCTCCACAATGCATTTCTACAGGGTCCCCCAAAACAACACACTAAAAGTCCCGAGCAATCCCAGTTTGGGAAATATGTCTAATTTGCAGAATCCAATATGGCCACCAATTATCAATATATCTTCCATATTTCAGATGAGGTTCAATGTTTTAATGAAAAAAAAGTATGTCTTGTATTGCGAAATAGACGTATAATATGTCTAAAAAGATATTTACAACTACTGAACGTTTTCGACTATTGACAAATCTACACACAAAAATCAAGATGGCCGCCAATTTCTAGATGGCCGCTAAGTTTCCAAAATGTTTGTTTACACTGTTGAATCTTTTAACTCTAAAACAGTGTGCTAGGACTAATATGCATTAAACTTGGCACACTAACTCACTGAAGTATAGTTAACACTTTTCGATAGAAGCTCCGTTACCAGAGCCCCCTGGTGGCCTTGTAGAAATGTGTTGTAGTGAAAAAATTCTGTTGCAAAGTGAAACCTTATTTTTGCCTGGACTATATATGATAGTGAATCATAAACACAGACACATGACACAGTCGGAATTGTACAATCGACTCTACTCTCAGCAGACATTTCTTGTGGGGCTGGAAAGGGTTCTTGACGTTTTTATTTATGTAACAGTAATCATAACGAGACAGTGTTCAAGTTCCCCCCGAAGGGTAATGTTATTCTTCTTTAAAAAATCACGAATATTTACAATCACATTTACATTCGCTATACACAACAGGGTTATGTCAGCCTGCTCAAGTGTTCTTCCCTCCCGTGGATCAATTTAACTTCTTGAATATTTATAGTGCAGGTTTCCTTGAGGATACAGAGGCTAACATATGTTCACAAGTTGTTACTGGGGGCTCTCTGCGGCGAGAGGCATATGCTAGTGTGTCTATGTACACATATCACGTTTCAAATGGCAAAGAAGATTATTCTTTAGTTTACATCAAGATAGTACGGAAGCATTTTAGGGCCATTTGGTTTTTTTCTACTAAGTTGAAATTTCATTATCATTGTCATTATCCTTTTGTTTACTGGAACAAATTATCTATGATCTGACGCGCATAGGGGCGGTGGTATAGCCTGGTGGTTAAAGCTCTTGCTTGTCATACCGGGTTCGATTCCCGACATAGGTACAAGGTGTGAAGTCCATTTCTGGTGTCCACCGCCGTGATCTTGATGGAATATTGCTAAAGGTGCTGTAAAACCATACTGACTTTAATTACTGGTTCGTAAAGATCAAACCAGGGGTTCATATCCGACACCAGATGCAAAAAAACACAGTAAAAAGTTATTCGTCAATTCCCATAAATGAAATTGGACGGTTGGTTATTGTTAGTGTCATAGTGCATTGTCCTCGTCCGTCTGTAACACACCATTACATTTTCGACAGCTTCTCGACACCCTGTGGACGACCCCCCCACGCACCCCCCCCCCCCCCCCCCAAAAAAAAGGTGGGGTAAACTACAGGAATACGTAGCTTGAACATCTTTTTTAAATATTGACCTATATATATATTGACCTTTCGGCCTTGTAGGATATATAGGTCAATATATTGTTTTTAAAGTATTCCAGTTGCTAAACTCGTGAGCAGAGGAAAGGTTTACACCCACGAAACAATTTCTAAGCTACGTTCGTTCAAAACACCCAAATGAAGAACTTACTAATTTTACTGTTTGTAATACAAATGTTATGTGAAATGCTTGCCTTGAACGATATATGGAAATTGACTTAAACCGGTTTGAAAGACATCGGGACGTTTTTAGGTTTCTTGTTTATAGCAGTTGGTGACACACTCTTTTCGCCTAATATTCAGTTTGAACATACGATTTTTATCAGACGAGGAGGGGGGCCTGAAGTTGAACGCCCTGCCGAATGACATGACTCTGACCTCCTCCAACCACTACGTGGTGCCCGGCCCGGAGATGGGAGCAGACTTCACTGGTCAGTTCAGCCCAACCCCCCAGCAGCTGCAGAAGACAATGACAATGATCCAGGATTCTGTCCTCGTGATCGCCTCGGAGCAGGACAAGTTGAGAGAGGTCAGTGTTTAGTGGTCTATCGGTCTATCAGTGTTTAGAGGTCTATCGGTCTATCAGTGTTTAGTGGTCTATCGGTCTATCAGTGTTTAGTGGTCTATCGGTCTATCAGTGTTTAGTGGTCTATTGGTCTATCAGTGTTTAGTGGTCTATCGGTCTATCAGTGTTTAGAGGTCTATCGGTCTATAAGTGTTTAGAGGTCTATCGGTCAATCAGTGTTTAGAGGTCTATCGGTCTATCAGTGTTTAGTGGTCTATCGGTCTATCAGTGTTTAGAGGTCAATCGGTCTATCAGTGTTTAGTGGTCTATCGGTCTATCAGTGTTTAGAGGTCAATCGGTCTATCAGTGTTTAGTGGTCTATCGGTCTATCAGTGTTTAGTGGTCTATCGGTCTATCAGTGTTTAGTGGTCTATTGGTCTATCAGTGTTTAGTGGTCTATCGGTCTATCAGTGTTTAGTGGTCTATCGGTCTATCAGTATTAAGAGGTCTATCGGTCTATAAGTGTTTAGAGGTCTATCGGTCAATCAGTGTTTAGAGGTCTATCGGTCTATCAGTGTTTAGTGGTCTATCGGTCTATCAGTGTTTAGAGGTCAATCGGTCTATCAGTGTTTAGTGGTCTATCGGTCTATCAGTGTTTAGAGGTCAATCGGTCTATCAGTGTTTAGTGGTCTATCGGTCTATCAGTGTTTAGTGGTCTATCGGTCTATCAGTGTTTAGTGGTCTATTGATCTATCAGTGTTTAGTGGTCTATCGGTCTATCAGTGTTTAGTGGTCTATCGGTCTATCAGTGTTTAGTGGTCTATTGGTCTATCAGTGTTTAGTGGTCTATCGGTCTATCAGTGTTTAGAGGTCTATCGGTCTATCAGTGTTTAGTGGTCTATCGGTCTATCAGTGTTTAGTGGTCTATCGGTCTATCAGTGTTTAGTGGTCTATCGGTCTATCAGTGTTTAGTGGTCTATTGGTATATCAGTGTTTAGTGGTCTATCGGCGTCATGGTGATGCATAGACTCAAGGTTAAGGTCACGTGTTTGAAAGTTTATGGTAAAGGACAAATAAAGTGAAAATATGGTTGCGATTGTTTGACGAATTTCAATTGTCCTATTCATATTAAGTCAATTCCGAGGGAAAAAATAAAAAAATCAGTTGAAAGTATTTAAATGTCCAAGTAAAAGTGCTGAAATCACACGCTCCGTAATCGGCTTCCAAAACAAACATATTTGGGGGCGTGGCCTAACGGTAAACTCACCAGGATGAAATCACTCTGGAGTGCCCTAAAGTATTAAAATCTAAAGTCGCTATGTTGACTTTACTTACCCTTGAATTTGTGTTTAATTTCCCTTTGAGTGAGTCAGGTTTCTTGCATACCTTGTACATTTGGGATCAGTGCCAATCGTCATCCAAGCAGCACAGTAAAGGTCAGATGAAACTATCTGTAGATGATCTCTTCGTGATCACGGGCTGTGTTAACAGATTATTTACTGATGTATAGCGGAAGAGGTAAGTATAGGACTCTTCTCCACAGACGGAGCACAGATGGCCAAGTCTTCGATTCGCTGTACAGAGTTGCGTCCCTTGGTAGTGCCAGCACCGATTATGGAACCCCTGACTTATCCTCGTTATGCTTCTATATGTAGGTTTGTCGGCACAATACCAGTGTTCGTGGGTTTCGTCAAAGTGATTGACGTCTAAAGCTGGCATCATCACAGGCTACTGTTGCTGTTGATGTCACTACTAATACTTATTATAATCAAAATAATCATCATCCTTCTCCTCGTCATCATCATAACCACCGCCAGCACCACCACCACCACCATCATCATCATCATCATCATCATCATCATCATCATCATCATCGGGGGCGGTCGGGTAGCCTAGTGGTTAAAGCGTTAGCTCGTCATGCCGAAGACCCGGGTTCGATTCCCGACATGGGTACAATGTGTGAAGCCCATATCTGGTGTCCCCCGCCGTGATATTGCTGGAATATTGCCAAAAGCGGCGTAAAACCATACACACTCACTCATCATCATCGTCGTCGTCATTATGATTATGATTATGATGATGATGATGATTATTATTATTATTATTATTATTATTATCATCATCATCATCATCGTCATCGTCGTCATTATTATTATTATTATTATTATTATTATTATTATTATTATTATTGTAGGAGTTCCAGCAGGTTCTGTTGGATCTGCAGGCAGTGAGACAGGAGATGTCTGATGTCAAGGCCGGCCTGAGTCAGTCACGGACGGAGTTGCTGACGGCTGTACGGAGGGCCGACACGGAGATCAAGGGGCAGGACTCCAGGTTGCAGAAGCTCGCCCAGAACGTCTCCAGCATCGACAACTCACTCGGGGGTAAGGTGAAGTCGTAGCACGGCCTCTTCTATAGGGGAGGTATACTTCCACTCAATTTTTCAAATTTACAACCGGGGCGAAATAAGTGCCCATGGCCATACAATGTAACTAAAATATGGGATTTGATGTCCACACAGGTACATGGGTATGGGTTGGTTTGTTATATATATGTGTGTGTGCCATGGTCTCGTGTCTCGTGACACTTGTCGGTCTACGTCTAGACGTTGTAATGCCGTGTAAGCATGTCATTAATTTATTAATTATTCCCCATAAATCAGACAATCCGACACCCCCCCCCCCCCCCCCAAATAATGTTAAAATTTAAACTATATGAAAAAACAGAACTGTCAATGTTTAATCTTGGGTACTTTTTCATTTTATTTATCTTAAGTGACGTTACAAACATACCCATTTTATCCATTGAAATCTATGCTTCATTTAGTCGAATCATGTGATGTCCTTTCAGGCTTCCATAGAAGTTTTTACGAGCTTTCCAGTCTCAACCGGTCTGTGCTGGTTGCCATGAAGGTGCAGAAGCAGACGCGGCAGAAGTTGACGGGGTTGACGGGAGACGTGAAGACGTTGAGGAACAACGTCGGTGACCTCCAGGAAAACTGGAACAAGACGATGAAGGAGACGTCTCGGCGACTGCAGAGGAGCTACACCGTGGGGAAAGATGTGAACAAACTCCAGAAACAGTTCCACTGTAAGTCCCCAGGGCTGCCGCTTCGAAAGTATTTCAGTCACTGTTATATCACAGCGCGTCAGTTTGATGTGGGAGGAAAGACCGAAGTGATGCAGGTCTATGACTGGACCACCCGTGCCCCTAAATGTTGTGTATATTGTTCCCAGTATATAATCCCAATGCCCCTCGCGACACACGCACGCACGCACGCACGCTCGCAAGCACGCACGTAGGCACGCAGGCACGCAATTTGTTGAATAACCACTTTCTATTTGTGTCACATCAAATTTTAGCATGTCCATTAATCCAACTGTCTCGGTTACCCTGGGCAACGTCTCACACAGGACACAGACACGATGTCTAGACAGATTAAAAGTGTGAAACTCTTAAACAATGTGTGGGCAATCGAACCTGATCCTTTGGCCTGACGGGCGAACGCTTTAACCACGTAGCCATCCCAGCGCCCTTAGTCTTTGTCTCTGTTCAGTGTCAAACCCGACCCATTCACACAGTGGGGATCCATATGTGTCACTGTTTGTTTGTTTGTTGTTTAACGCCGCACTCAGCAATATTCCAGCTGTATGACGGCGGTCTGTAAGTAATCGAGTCTCGACCAGACAATCCAGTGATTGACATAATAAGCATCGATCCACGCATTTGCGATACGATGACAAGCATCATCAACAAAATCAGTGAGCCTGACCACCCGATCCACCCGACAAGCATAGTCGCCTTTTACGGCAGGCATGGGTTGCTGAAGACCTATTCTACCCCGGATCTTCACGGGTCCTTTATGTGTGGCTGAACAGTGTTAAATCAGCGACTACGGAGGTCCGGTGATGTGTTCTCTAAATACCACTATTAAGTCCACCAGTATCCCCAGCCTGATCTTCCTGTGTGACTTTTAAGAGAAATGTGCCCTGTCAATAAAAAAAACTCGAATAAAAGCAAGCAATCATCCGTAGCGTGCAGGTAGATCTGTTGAAACTCATGTGGACTTTTATGCGAGAGAAAATAAAACGAGCACTTAAATGTTAGACAAGCACAGGTGTTTATCTGATACACCTGCGCGTATATCTTTAACAGGCAATTCCTTTATTCTGTTTCAGCCATGAAGACGAGGTTCACACGGCTTCATGGAAAAAAGTGTAAGTATACCGTCAGCTCCGGATATAACCAATCATCGGCTATAACGCGTTGCATTGTAGTTTGTTTGGTTTTGTTTGTTGTTTAACGACCCACTCAGCAATATTCCAGCTACATGACGGCGGTCTGTAAATAACTGAGTCTGGACCAGACAATTCAGTGATTGATATCATGAGCATCGATCTACGCAATTGGGTTACGATGACATGCATCAACCAAGTCAGCTAGTCTGACCACCCGATCCCGTTAGTCACCTATTACGACAAGCATAGCCGCCTTTGACGTCAAGCATGGGTTGCTGAAGACGTCTTCTACCCCGGAGTCAGTTGTAGTAGCCAAATTGGCAATGAACATTATATGTCATGTGCATATCACCTTTCGTACAAGGAACTAATTTGGCAATTATTTCTGTCTTTTCCTGAAAAGTGCCCGATGGTGATTCCGGGTTAGAATAGCAACAGGTGCTTCTCAGAGACGACTAAATGAATCAGGTGGTCAGGCTTGCCGACATGGATGATTGTATGCTCATAATATCAATGTTAAAAATTATCAAGTACATTTGCAGGCAATCAATACGTTTTAGTCTTTATTTAGTCGCATTTAGTTTTAGTAATAGTTCTTTGAATGTCAGGATTTTCGAGTATTTAACGAAACAGTTGTTTCATTTCGCCAGGCCGCTACGCTTGCTCTTGAGTAAGTGAGCGAGTGAGTATAGTTTTAAACCGTGTTTAGACCGCCTCAGAGGTCTGGTGGATAGGACGTCTTCCCGGAGATCGGAAGGTCGGTGGTTCGATTCCCGACCGCGTCATACCAAAAAGATGGTAATTGTGGTTACCCTGTCTGGCGCTCGGCATTAGGGGACTGAAACACTGACTGGTCTACTTGGAGTCAGTATACTGTGCCTGAGTGGGGAATTCATGTTAAACTACGGCATGGTATCTCAGTGGACTAGCTCCATAAAAATCATCGGCATTAGTCTGGACAAGTACAAGCAGCCACACGTGCATGCACATCGCTATATAAGTGCAATAATCTTGGACGCGTCGCTAAACCCCATTTCACCTCAGGGCACGGGTGGCCCAGTCATCTGAGGCGCCGCGATTCGCTGTGCAGAGTTGCGTCCCTTGGGAACGCCAGAACCTTATGAGTGTGGGTTCGAATCCCGGTTCGCCCCGATTATGTTTCTAGGTTTGTCAGCACCATACCCGTGCTCGTGGGTTTCACCAAAGTGGTAAACGTCTGAGACCTGCATCACTTCGGGCTTTCCTCCCACATTAAGCTGACACGCCGTGATATAACTGGAATACAGTGAAAAGCGGCGTTAAACCCAACTCCCTCACACACATCACGCCGTCAATTGTCTCACAGGACTTATCAAGCTTGTAATCAAATCCTTCTCCTTCCAGGTGAGTCTGGGCGATGGATGTTCATGAACTACCCATTCTCCTACGGCAAATGGCCTCAGTCACACCCCGTCAAGTTCGCACAGCCGTTTTCCCGACGGCCTGAACTTACACACGGAATGACGCAGCTTGACGTAAACTACCGTTACAATACTCGGGCCAGGGTGCGGGTGGTGGGTCTTGACACCAAGGGCTTCTCCCTGGTGTGTGACGGCTGGTACAACACGAGGCTATACCGGGTCGAGGTGTCCTGGATGGCCTGTGTCGTGTAGTCTGGAGAACGTCGTCATGAACTACGGATGACCTTGAACGAGGCTCAGTGGCCTTGGCATAATCTGAACAAAACAATGGGTGACGAGTGTGCGCGAGTGTAGCCGAGATATATGCAACGCCGGACAATGCCCATTTACCCGTTTTTGCGTGCTACTGTGACTTCATATTTTAGTTCAACTATATTTTCAAGCATTCATCAGTATGCAATGCATCTTACTGATGCACGGTGAACAAGGCTGGATCCTATACCATGTAGATCATTAATCGAAAACATACACGTGTTGGCTCATATGTAAAGCATCACAAACCTGCTGCAATATCCGTATTAGGAACTTACTGTGACATTATATTGAGTGTTGCTGTCTAGTTATTCCTTATGTTTATGATAATAATAATTATTTGTGTTATAGACATATAAATGGATCAATTAATTGTTTTTATGGTATTTCTCAAATGTGGGTCAGTGAGGTAGCCATGTGGTCCAAGCGTTCGCTCGTCACACTCGTCCAATCATGGCTACAATGTGTGGAGCCAATTTCTGATGTCCCCCGCCGTGATATTGCTAGAATATTGTTAGAAGCGACGTAAACCTAATTCAAACAATCTCATGTGCGAAGCTCAAGAAGCGCTCCGAAAATCCCCAAATTTTGAAACATTGTAAAACACCATTTTGTCAAACGCTGCTTCTGTATCTCCTCGGTTTCTTGTGCGAGTGAGTGAGTGAGTATGGTTTTACGCCGCCTTTAGCAATATTCCAGCAATACCACGGCGGGGGACACTAGAAATGGGCTTCACACATTGTACCAATGTCGGGAATCGAACCCGGGTCTTCGGCGTGACGAGCTAACGCTTTAACCACTAGGCTACCCGACCGCCCCTCTTGTACAAGTATCTCCACCTCGTGTTAAGCTAAAAAAAAAATTCTGTTCAATTACATGATAACAATGAATGTTGAATGTTTTTGTTTTATAGTACAGCTTCGTGCAGCTCGGTTGTCTCGAATGTAACAATATTTCCGATCTATCTTCCAAAGAAATGTTAATTTCTATATCATATATATACTGATGTCACGAACAAAACAGTTATTGAAATCTCGAACATGGTGTTGTAAGAATACAGGGGATGGATACAGTCTGGCCCAGGCGTCTCGAACATATAGGGACCGTGTTGTAACTTCGAGATATCCGGACATTCGAGATAGCGAGGAAAGGACAGCCACCCAGGCCAATCAACCGTTTTATAGATCCATAAGAAAACTGTTGTATACATGGGAAATTAAGAACACTGGTAGACATAGTGGCAACTTGTATTGCAGTGTAGCAGCGTTATAACGTGTGGTCGTCTCACGCGGTCTGTCGCCTTTTATACCATGTTCAGCGCTATATTATAACATTGTTTCGGTTAATCCAGGTGTTGACTCGTGTTCGTATCACGTTCTGCACGTGCAGGAGAGGACAGGTGGTTGCGTTTGCATGCTCCGTTTTTTGACTACTTTTCATTCGGGCCACATGATGTGTTGTTTACATTAGTGTTCGATGGCCCTCCAACAGTACATGATTAAGTCAAATGCACCTAGACATAACACTATGCGCCCGCGTCTATTAGAGTCATGCATGTCTTAACCGTAGGCGTTTACACAGTTTCATAAAAATAACAACCCAAAATATCATGATCCCTTTCTTTTCTTGTTCAGTATAGTCCTGCAATCTGAAGACAGGCAAAAAAGTGATTACATCGCGTGACTCTGTACAAAGAGTAAGTGAGGACATGAAACCAGTTGTGTTTGATGTAATTCACCGACTTCAAAAAATTAAAAAGAAAAGGAGAAGAAAAACTGTCTTATTTATTCCACGGACCAGAATTAAGTAAAATGAGTTTTTACTCATGTACTTTTGCCAATGCAGCCTAGACATTTGTCGTTGTACTTTTGCCTATTGCCTAAATTTTCGTTTTTTTCTACTCTCTTTTGAGGAAATAAAAAGAATCGTTGCGCAATAATTCGGAATCAACTAAGTCTACCACCCAATAACATTCTCGGCCAGCACTGGAAGGAATCCGCGCTGAAAGTGGGTTCACGAATTCCTGTGACCATGACCTTGTATAACGCCATCTGGCGACAGTCGCCACCCGTATTTAAAAGCAACATTTCAATTTGAATTGATAATTTCTTATAACCATAACCAAAAAAAATCTGAATGTAGGTCTTCCTCATTTTATACGACCTACATGCGGAGGGATCGGTGTGCTGTTTACATTGAAATCATTTCACATCACTACGCCATTGCTTCCGGTATTATGTTGATACCGGAATAAGCCGACTAGACCCGAATGTCCCTAACGTATCATTACGAACATTCTGTAGGCCAATAAACTCACATACTCACACATACTACACATCCCAAAGATGGCGCGGTAAACACACGCACACCGACTCCGAGTGTGTATGTACTGGAAAAAGGAAATATTCCTGGAATCCTGGTAGCTGTTTCACGTGAACCCGTGTGCCCTGGTACATGAAAGGTGGGGCGGCAGACATGGTTGTTTACAGTTGGTCACTCGAGGATCCCGAACATCGACAAGGGACTTCTGAATGAGTGCCAGTCACTTCCGGTTGGGGGCAGATTCGGGCATTGAGTCTTAATGTTCGGTGTGAGAAAGTGTCAGGTATGCACAGAGCTGACGACTTCAGTATTGCATGGGATTTCTAAAGTACGGTACATGTACAATTAGAGACCTGGTGTTTGTTTGTGACAAAACGATACACTGTCGTAGATTGATAGTATTTTTATATTGTTTGATTGTTTGACAATCACTTGATTGTCTGGATTGTTTACATGCTGACGTCGCATGGCTGGAGTACTTCAGGTACTTCCGTAAAATGTTATTCACTTGCAAAGGCAATTTTAGTAACTACGAGAAGAGTTGCTCCACAAACATTTCGTTGCCAAACAAAAGTCAGGTTTTAACACACTCTCCCAACCACACACACACACCACACCACCCCCAATTACATGCAGCATTTTGTCATGACCTATCCCCTTTCGCTTGCCATCCGGGATAGAGTAGGTCTTCAGCAACCCATGCTTGCCGTGAAAAGCGACCATGCTTGTCGGAAGAGGCGACTAACGGGATCGGGTGGTCAAGGCTCGCTAACTTGGTTGATGCATGTCATCGATCCCAATTGCGTGGATCGATACTCCACACAGGCCGTCGGTATTTGATGTCCACACAGGTACATGGGTATTCATTTGTTTGTTATATATATGTATGTGTGTGCCATGGTCTTGTGTCTTGTGACACTTGTCGGTCTACGTCTAGACGTTGTAATGTCACGTGCAAACATGAGGCCGTGTAAGCAAGTAATTAGGGTGTCATTAACTAATTAATTATTCCTATAAATGAGACAACCCCATCCCCACACACGTAACAGGAACTGGTGGTCAGGTTCGCTGACTTGGTTGATGCATGTCAGCGTATCCCAATAGCGCGGATCGAAGCTTATGATGCCAATCACTGGATTATCTGGTCCAGACTCCATTATTTACAGACTGACGTCATACAGCTGGAATATTGCTGTGTGGGTCGTTAAACAACAAACCAACCAACCAACCAACCTTTCGCTTGTCATTCTTATGCACTCTCTCTCCCCCCACTCCTCTTGTTTAATAAATTACCTTTCCCTTACTGATTTCGTTTTTAATGACGATTGATGTATATGCAAGTTGAACGAGTGTTAATATACTAGTATTTTATATATCACCGATCACCCAAGCGAGATCTCCCGTGAGGGCCAGATTTGGATGATAATTGATATTATAATATCAATATCTAAACCATTATGACGACGTCTTGTTCTTGCGGCTGATCGTGAGCTACGAATCCGCTTTCCATTCTGGGACCACTAATTTTAGTTCGTAATAACCGTAGTTCGTTATAAGCATATAAACAGCATATATACACCAAATGGCCGGGACTAAAACATAAGTTCGTTATATCCGTCAGTTCGTTATAAGCGTGTTCGTTATAAACGTAGTTTACTGTATATACATTTTAACAACTAAAGCTGTCGCAACTATAAGTCATTATGCAATATTATAGAAAAATAATATATTAACCATAACATGGTTTAAGTCAGAGAAGTCACTCGACTTTGTTGATGACCCTTCGGGGCGCATTGATTCTACTTCTGGAATTCATAGACTCTCATGATTTCCCAATTACGGAATTTCTTTTTAAATCTGATTTTAATTACATTGAGAAGAGTTACAGCATTCTATACTTGTCGTAAGAGGCGACTCATTGTATCGGGTGGTCAAGCTCGGCTAATTGAATGAATACGTGTGATTGTTCCCTGAAGGTGTATGTCTATCCCATAATAACTGCCGTTACCTTATCTCTGTGTTCATGATGATGGAACGATGAGATCACGTGATAAAATGTATCACTGAGATACTTCTTTCAACCAAAGTAACAGCAAATACATTATATTGAGTAGGGCTGGGACGAGTCCTAATTTACTACCCCGGTACCCACCACCCTATTACCCGACCCTACCCGGATACCCGCTGTAGATATTTAGAGATAGGTACAAACTTTCCGATTTGGAAAAGTTTGACCGTAGCCCTGGCACAATGTATACAGATACACGTGTAAAGCGATCTGGTCATGCATACACTGAAGTTTACTGCATGAAGTTTTATCTAAATGCAAATATATAAAAGTCAGAAGGAAGGGTGCATAGTCAGATAGAAATTGGAACATTAGTGACTTGTAGTGTAACCATAGAGTTTTATATCATTTTTGTCATTAAACAATATATCACGTGACTAACCACGGGTCCGGGTAGTCCTGGGGGTAGCCGGGTCCTACTCAGTACCCACCCGACCAGAGTACCCGAGTTACGCGTCCAAGCCCTAATATTTAGACAATTCAATAAAGAGGTTTTTCGTATAATGGATAGGTTTCTCGGCAGGATAAAGGCAACGGATAAAAACGATATCCATTGGGGTCATATGCGGATAGAGATGCAAATATAAAAGGTCAAACAAACATGGCGTCGCCCTTGTCATTCGGCAATCGAGTCAGAATTAGCCATCAGGAATCTGGATAAACTACGGAGATAATTGCTATCATTATCAAAAGAACAGTCTTAAAATCAGTGTTTAACTGTGACATCGCTAAGACGTTTTATAAGTTTTGGCATCTTTGGAGGTATAAATTTCGAAACAATTTTGCGAGGGCATTAGGCCTAGCCAAGCGGGATCAGTAGCCATATCTGTGATTGTAGACCTCAGCGGCTTGAAACCTTTTCCACAAATTATGATAGTTGGATTTGGCCGTAATATGTTTGCATCGTTACCTTGTTTCGTTTTGTCGCTGTGTGTACATCTGATTGCACTTCTTAACGTTTTCATAGGACAGGCCGACTGTCAACAACGTCTGAACGTGGCCATTAAAGAATGATATTATATGATAAAGAGGTTCATTCCTAATTCAGGATATTTACCACACCCGCGTGATAATCTCTATTCATCTAATGCTCCGTGCAAAAGGCCTTCTAGTATTCATCAATAAATCCATATATATAAAAAAAGCACAGTAAAGTTCTAACTCTCAGGCACAATATAGTGAAATTAAATAAGTGGAGTAGGATTGAACACAGTTTTTATTGGGAAACTGTGTTCAATCTTACTCCACTTATTTAATTATTACTATATCCACATCGATAATTTATTATCATTACGAAAACTTAAAAAATAACATGAAAATTTAAAAATAGATGACACGATAACAAATTCAAGATTCAGTTTTCAAGAAAAGGCATTTAGAAAAAAATCAATTATCCGCTATTCAAATATTTGTTTATTATATCTTGATAACGTGATTATAATAAGAACACATTTACTCATTCTGTTTGGAAACTTAATGACAAGCAATGTTATGTAACGTTTCCATGGAAACATCAACAGTTTCATCAGACATGGGATTAACATGATCGCACGAACATCAATGGCGTATTCAGTGGGCAAAAGTACTTGACAGATGCGGCCCGATAGATGAGTTAAAGAAACTATCGATGTATTGGCTTGAACACTTAGTGTCATGTGTATATTGCTTATCTTTACAACCGATACATCCATATGGAGTGAGTGAGTTGGGTTTAACGCCGCTTTTAACAGTATTCCAGTTATATCGCGGCGTGTCAGCTTAATGTGGGAGGAAAGCCCGAAGTGATGCAGGTCTCGGACGTTTACCACTTCGGTGAAACCCACGAGCACGGGTATGGTGCTGACAAACCTAGAAACATAATCGGGGCGAACCGGGATTCGAACCCACAATCATAGGTTTCTGGCGTGCCCAAGGGACGCAACTCTGCACAGCGAATCGCGGCGCCTTAGACAACAGGGCCACCTGTGCCCCCACACCCATATGGAAAAGAGTTCAATAATATCAGTGCTAAACGGAAGGGCTAAGAAAGTATATCGATTGTTCTTTGTGTAACTGAAAAATGACATAACTGTTGTTAAATCACCAGTAATTACTGTACCAGTTTGAGAAAGTAATCTGTGGCTGGATAATTTGTGTAAAAGTAAATTGGTCTAATGATGACTTGGGTCAGAATGAATTTGCAACCACAGGACACCTACCATGTTTGAAATGTATATTTGT